TGTGATACCACGAAGAGAGGATAGGTAACAAATATGCAATATATAAAATATACACTATAAATATGTAGTAGGGAGTTTTTTTTTTTCTCTCTACATAATACGGGAGTAAACACCTAAATAATATACTAAATTAATTAATATGAAGCACTAAATATGGAGGTAGAAAATATCACGATATAAATGGGGAGGGTGAAGGAAGTTATATAGGTTAAGTGGGAAGCCAGTTTAAGATTTGGCATATATAAAATATGAAGACCGTTCAGGGTTGACCATGAAATGTAAATGTTAAAATACAGACTAAAATTGTGAAAATAGCAGTGTCTTAAATGTGAGTTGTATGTATGTATGTGGATGTATAATCATGTTGTTGTAAATTACACTATTAATTATGTGGTTGTAAATTATTGTTGTTGGCGGAAATGTTTTTTTTGAATAAAGGATTTAAAAAAAATAAAAACATTTTTTGGCACCAAACCTTCAGCCCTCTGCTAAAGAGATGAACAAGAATTTCACCTTTCAGCATGACAATGACCCAAAGCATAACTCCAAATAAAAAAAACAAGAAAATCAAAGTTTTGGAATGGCACAGCCAGAGCCTAGACTTGAAACTAATGTAAAAATGCGGGCTGACCTGAAGAAGGCTGTGCACAGGAGATGACCTTGCAACCTATCATATTAGAAGCGCTTTTGCAAGGAAGAGTGGGCAAAGATTCCTAATGTAAGACTCCGACCCCAAAAGACTGAATGCTGTCATAAAATCAAAAGGTGCTTCAACAAAGTATTAGTTTAAGGGTGTGCATATTTATGTAACCACATTGTCAGTTTTTTTTGTTTCCCCTTTAAAGATTCAAGTTTGATTTTAATTGAACTGTACAGATTATAGGTCATCTTAAAGGGGTCAAACATTCTGAAGTGATTTATCGTCCTGATTTTATTTTACATCTTAAAAACCTGGTATTTTTAAAAGGGGTTTGTAGACTTTTTCTATCCACTTTATATACAACCTCCTGTTTTCTTCCCTCCCTGTTAACTGCAAAACACCTGCAGAGTCAGTCTTCCAACCAAATAGATGGCAATACTGGCAAGAGGTCTCAGGTTGGTTACAACAGACCATCCTAAAAGAAACTGTTATTACTTGTTGTTTATAGTTTCACCTTTTAGGTTTTAAAATGCTTGAAATGCAAGAAGTAAAGCTGAACTCTGGCAAAAAAAAATATTACCCTTGCAGTGGGCCCAGTTCCCCACTGCAAGGGTTAACTGCTCTTTTTGGGTAGAGGATTAAGAATAAGGGGGTATACTTACCTTATTCTGTGCTCCCTCGGAAGCTCTTGTCCACTGTTCCAGAGCATTGGACAATGGACAACAGCGGGTGGGCTGCTGGTCCTGCATTGTAGGGGATGAAATCAGAGAGCTACAGTAGCTTGCAAAAGTTCTTCCTATTAGTTTTCTTAACTAAGGGGCTCCATTGTCATACCAAGAATGGTGTTTGCATACTAAGGAATTAAAAAGGACAGTAAATGAGGAAATATGAATAGAATTTCACAATGATCACGCTTTGGTAGTATGTATGAGACGGGCCAACAATGCACTTTTCTTTCCACAGTAAACATGTGCAGAGCTGCTGTTACTTTCCCCTTGATTTGTAACCGATATTATGCAACCAAGAAAGTTTTACTTCACAGTTTTTAAAAATAGCTGAGTTTGGCCGTGTGATTTTTATCTTTTAAACTTTGTGGATTTTATATATGTGACACTACAAAAAAAATCTTAGCTACCTTGAGGTTCGTGTTGAAAGCAATCAGATATTTGTATAAATAGATGTAAAATGCTCCAGGGAATTATACTGATGTTGGGATGGAAACTAATCAATGTTTTAAATGTCTGGAAGGTATACAGCATGGTGGCATGCATTTTTTGAGTATGCCCTGGATAGCAGTAAAACAAGGGCTTTCATCCTTCCCCACTTTATTCAAAACTATATAAAATAAAAGATTTGGTGGGACTTTTAAGCGTCTGACTCACGACTCTAACCCATGTTTGCTGACACTTGGTGGACTGTAATGTGATCTTTTGTGCAGGTTTATGTACAAGTAATACAGGGAATGGTCTCTGACTTCCTGTCCAAGTATTTTTAAATTATAAGGCAGAGAGAAGAAGGTAAAAAAATAAAAAAAAGATAATGGAGCAAGGAGAGCAATGACAGGACTCATTTATTTGTAAATGTATTATAAAACAATGCTTTTTAATTGATCAGGATGTGTTTTTTTTCTTGATAGAGGTTATCAACAGCAAAATTAAGGCAATCCAAACCTTGATATGACCAAGCCATCACATAAGTAAATGAACACAGAGGTGAAGATTAAAAGGAAAGATGAAGGGAGGACTCACTAAATAGGTGCAAAATGACCCCCCTGAGTAGCTTCCTTTTTTGCCTGACACAGCAGAGATGCATCTAAATGGAGGGTGGTTATGGTTAGTAGATAACTGGTTCGTTGGTTAGCCCAACATGGTCATGTTAATGGTCGCAGCTTACTTGTAATGACATCTGTAGATCAAAGTTTATTTGGATGCAAGCTTACAGCTCACAAAATGAATGTGTACAATTCCAGACCAGACAATTCCTTTACCAACAGCTATCACTGTGCTCCAGTTCACTTCTATCAGGACAAAGGCTCCACCTGCGCATATGTACAGAGCATTACCTTTACAAACAGAAAATCATTCTGGACTTGTGCTGGTTCTGTGTCAAATTACCAATGATGACAACATCCCTTTTCAACTAAGATGAGATAGCAAGAAGAATAAAAATAGCCTGGAGGCTTCCACTGGGTTATTAAGTAAATCACTCCAGTCAGGAAAAATTCAGAATGCTGTTTTAAAATGGGACTGAAATGTAGAAATCACTGATCCAGTTAACCGATTGACCTTTTTTCTTTGCATAGTAGAAAAATCTAATAGATATGTAGAAGTCTAATATGAAGACACCCTGAAAAATGTTGTGTCCCTGTAACCCCAACATAGTAGGCAGCTGACATCTTTGTCACTTAGAGCCTTGTCCTGGTCATATTCTTTATGCCATATAAATAACTGTTATATTGACTACAAAATGAAAAACACTATTTCGTGTATGTATCCCTTCATGCAATCATATTTAATTCAAGTAGTGTAAAGTCTGTAGCACAACAGCCACCGTTGGACCAGCTAAAATTCTCTCAGTGGGTGGCCTAACATCCTTCTACCAGGAAATCAAAGGCGGCAAGGGGAAAATTATCAGTGTCTACAGCTAATCAGCTGCATTCACTGTTTGGCTATTGACAGCATACCCGCCACTGTCAGAATACAATAGCCACAGCAGGATATTCGTTCATTCACATTGTTTAGTGGGGATGGAGGAATCTGTTACATAGTTAGTCAGGTTGAAAAAAGGCACATGTCCGTCGAGCTCAACCTATGGAGATATGAGAAGAAAAAAGGCCTAAACAGAATGCTAATGTCCACAATTGCCCACTGTTAATCCAGCGGGAAGGCAAAAAAAAACAACCTATAAAGCATTTTTTTTGTGTGTTTTTTTTGTGTTTTTTTTAAAACAAGTGGAACATAGATTTGCTTATTCAGCCCGCAGGCTAAACGAAAATAAAACCTATCTGTGTATAGCCAGCTTGAGGCTTACAGTGAGAGTACTCGCCCTGTGAGCTGGACAGGGAGGCTTTCACTAATGTGGTGATGTTTACTAGTAGTCCAAAGAGGAGACAGGTGCTGGTCACAATCAATAAGTGTGGTCACCC